ATGCATGACCAGATAGCTCCCTTTTCTCACCAAATGTTTAAGTTGCTTGTTTTTATCAGGGGTAAGAAGCAATTCTGGAGCAAGAAAAAAAAAACTCTAGCCTGATAAATAGGATATGTGGGAGTCCCATCTGCCGAGAAAGAGCAAACCCAATTTGTGGATATAGCTATACTGCCAAACAGGTTAACCACTAACTTAAAGCTAAGGGCTAAAACATCCCTACAACTGTTCCTGGTTTTGCAAAGTTGTGTTCTTGCCAGATCTCCTTTGCTATCTTCTAATATGACAATAACAAAAAAACGAAGAAGTTCTATCATGATGAGACTTAAGTTAGCCATAAAGATGACTAAAATCAATGACTCTTTTAAATGTGATAACCCAGTGTGAAGACGGTGCCTAGAGCTGAGGGTGGGTCTAAGTGAATACAGAGCCAAAATACTGTACAGGCAAACTGCGAAAGTCGAAATTGTCTGGTAACATCAACCAAATTTACTCTCTAGTTTACATTTCCCAACTGTAAATCTTGTCGTATCAACTACTACAGATGCCTACATAAGAAATCTGACAATATCTATTGAACATCTATATGCAAAGCACTGTGTTAAATATTGTGAAAAATCCAAATATTAATAAAACATAGTTCTTACTTCAAGATTACAATACTTAATACAATACCTAGTGGGAAGGATAGATATGTATACAACTAACCACTGTCTCAGTATCCAGAGGTAACCATTATTAACAATTTCTTTCTTCTTTCTGTTAAACAGGGCCAGGAGGTGGCATAGGTATCCCCTGTGCCCCCTACTATGGTTTCATAACCATTTCTCTGCCTTCTTCAAAATTTCCACTATCTTAGAAGCTTATGATATAGTTGCACTGTTTTCTCCTGACCTCCTTTCCTGGTCACTTTCTTATTCCCTGAAGACTTCAGCTCTGGTTTACTGTCCTCCTTTTCGTTCCTGCTCCTTTCAAGATTTTCAGTGACTTTAACACCAACATGGATTACTCATCTCACATCCTGGTCTCCTCACCCACACTGATTCGTTCTTTCATCCCTCACAGCCACCAATATCCATGATTATAACATAAACTTTTGCATTACAAGTATCCACAATATGAAATCTTGAATTGAAGACCTCTTTCTCTAATAACCACTCCCTCAACTTTTAATTCACTTATGCTAATGCTGCTACTGTAATATTTCTTTGACCTCATCGATACCTCCAATTCATTCAACAATATTTTTTTCACTATCCAATACCCTCCTTCTTTTTTTGTTTCCTAAAATCCTGGTTGGACCCAGCTATCAGCCTTCTCCTCATTTAATCTAGTGCAGCTAAAAGCTGCTAGAGAAAACCACACAACTAGGTTCATGGGCTGTATTTTAAATTAATGACCACAGAACTCCAGTGGGCACTCAGTCGTGCCTAGAAGTCCTACTACATTTCCCTAGTAAATCTGATTACAAGCCTACAAGATATCAATTTCACAATGTTTTCTCTTTTTATCCTGTATTTTACCTGATAACTTGACGTCATATTTTACTGAGAAAATAGAAGTAATCAAACAAGATGGCCCCATGTTCTCAACATCAAAGCTGTTACAGTGGGGACTTCCCTGGTGGCGCAGTGGTTAAGCATCCGCCTGCCAATGCAGGGGACATGGGTTCGAACCCTGGTCCAGGAAGATCTCACATGCTGCGGAGCAACTAAGCCCGTGCGCCACAACTACCAAGCCTGTGCTCTAGAGCCCATGAGCTACAACTACTGAGCCCATATGCCACAACTACTGAAGCCCATGCGCCTAGAGCCTGTGCTCTGCAACAAGAGAAGCCACCGCAATTGAGAAGCCCGTGCACCACAACAAAGAGTAGCCCCTGCTCGCCGCAACTAGAGAAAGCCCACGCGCAGTAGTGAAGACCCAAGGCAGCCAAAAATAAATAAATTAATTAAAAAAAAAAAAGCTGTTACAGTGAAAGAAGTACCTCTGCTCCTATCAAAATCTTCTCTGCTTGTGTTCTAGATTTCCTAAAGACTTCACTTCTGCAAGTCTTGCCCTTTCTCTTCTGCGTTACCTATTTCTCCTTCTTTAGGATAATTCTCATCAAGTTATAAGTATGCTTTAGAATCTCTCATCCCCCTGAGCCTACAATCTCTTCTAGCTACAATCCCATTCTCTAACCCCTTCAAGCAAAACTTCTTAAAAGGTGTTACATACTGTTTGTTATCTCCATTTTGTCTTATCTCTTGTAACCCTCTCTAATTTGGCTTCCAAACTCACTGAACCTGGGGAATAGTCTGACGGATTTTTCAGATTTTTCACTGTCCTGACCTTTTTTTTTTTTTTTTTTTTTGTGGTAGGCGGGCTCCGGACGCGCAGGCTCAGAGGCCATGGCTCACGGGCCCAGCCGCCCCGCGGCATGTGGGATCTTCCCGGACTGGGGCACGAACCCGTGTCCCCTGCATCGGCAGGCGGACTCTCAACCACTGCGCCACCAGGGAAGCCCTGTCCTCACCTTTTTTATGTCTCAGAAGACTGGTCTCAGGTAACCACTCACTCCTTGATATTTATGACACCAAGTTTTTCTGGTTTTCCTCCTATCTTTCTGTCTCTTCTTCAGTCTCCATTGCTGACTCCAATTTTCTATTCAGTGCTTAGTCCTGCGTCCTCTTCTTTTCCCCTAAGTGATCTAGTCTAGTCCCATGGCTTTAAATCACCAAAATCTTGTTGACTCCCAATTTAGCATCGAACATTTCCATTTGATTATCTACCAGGCATCTGCAATTTAACAACAAAACCCTTGATTTCCCCCCAAAACCTGAGAGTTATTCCTGGTTTCTCCCTTACCCTTGTCCCATTACTCTACTCCATTAAATAAGTCTATTGATTCTACCTTCTCTCCTAGGTTCCTTATCCAAAGCACTTTCATTTCTTACCTGGACTATTGCAGCCACCTCCTAAGTAGTCTTTCTGCTTCTAACTTTGTCTTCAATAATCCATTCTCCCCACAAGGTGATCTCTTAATACATAATTCAGTTTATGTCACTTGAATGCTTAAAGCTCTTCAGTGGGTTCCTATGACATTTAAAAATGTTAAAAACCTCTTTACCAGAGCCTGTAAGACCCTATGTGATCCAGCCCTACTTATCTTCTCAACTTCTTATTTTCTTACTTGTTATGGTCCAACCACACTGGACTTCTTTCTGTTCCATGAACTTGCCAAGTTCTCTTTCTTCAAGGACTTTGTTCTGGTGTTCCCTCTATTTGTGTTGCTTTTCCTCCTAATCATTATGAGATTGGTTCTTTCTTGTAATTCAAAGCTCATCCTAAGTATCACTTCTTCAGAGAGGTTCTCTCCATCTAAAGTAGCCTTCCCCACCTCTACAAAGTTACTTTGTAGGTTATTACCCTATTTATTTCCTCAATAGCACTTACCTCATTCAAATTATATTCAAATTTCTTTACTAGTTTACTGTCTGTCTCCTTCATGTAAGTTCCTTGAAGGCAGGTACCTCGTCTTTCCTGTCACTTCTATTTCCCCAGCAGTTCTTGACATACTGAAGGCATTCAAATATTTGTTATATAAAAGGATGAAGTCACTGAATAATTAACTATATATATATTTAGGTAATAGTGACAAATGCCCGCAGATGCTGACAACTGATGAATGTGTGTTTTGTTGGAAGAGCCTCATTTTGAACTTTGTTTGGAAATGAATTCCCCAAATTAGAAAGGTTTGCTCTCATAACTAATCATCCACAATATTCTTCTGGTGGTCTATTATGTCCCTTTAGCAGTAAGTGGCTAATTTCTTATTCAATAATTCTTATATGAAATTCATAAGAAAATTAATATTTTTACTTATATCATATTAATTAGAAGGCTATTTAAGAGAGTTATACCGTTTTTCAAAAAGCCTCTCAGATAGGTGAATAGCTTTGGGCTGGTTTTCATTCTTACCACTTAGCTGACATTTCTAAATTTTGATGCCAAATGAGTATACTCTCTGAATTTAACCCCAGATGTTCTGCTTCTCAACCTTGGAGTTTTAAAAAGATTTCTTTTTTTTTCTTTTTCTTTCTGTTCTGTTACCAAATTACAGAGTTTTTTTTTTTTTTAAAGGAAAAACGTGAAAAAATATATTTTATCACACAAGAGTTATTTATGTACCTCAAAATATTTTTCTCCTTTCAGAAATTCATTACATTTATAAAACACTATTCTTCCAAAGCCTTAGATTATGATTAGCTAAAATAATATAAGAATTATACCAACAGTAACAATTCTCACATTAATCTATCCAATAGGGTTCAGATACATATATTAGGCTCTTTATAATATGTGGTCCCAATAAAAAATACACAAGAATATAATTTATAACTAGGTAGAATTTGTGTATACTTAAAATTTCAGGTTGGCCTATGTAAGTTGTTCTGGACAACTTTTGTTTTTATTAAAACTAACAAACCACTGGATTAAAATGACAATTAATTGCTTCCTTCAGTTAATACCCAAAAAGAAAGCCATCCTTTTCTCCTGTGTGACAAAAGGCCTTTGTCACTTAGGTCTCAGTTTATATACTGGCCACATTTGGCAAAGTCCAGTCCTCACCAAAAGTAGTAACAACCTGCTCTGGATGGTAATCAAGCAGCAAATCTATTTTCAGCCTTAATGTTTGAAACTCCAAATGCTAGATGCCATGGAACTGAACCTTAAACGGCACAGGTAAACTGGTCTGAGACTAAAGGACAGGACACAGTATTTGGGGCTCTCCAAAACATCTGTTTCTTTATTCTAAAAGAAACAATGTTTCAGGCTTAGTAGGGGAATTGAAATCTAACTTTGACACACGTAAAACCAAAAGAATCTTAGAACTGAAACAACTGGGGAAGGAAGATTAGAATGATATAACCTTTGTCGTAGTCTTTTACATTACCCTAAATTTCCTATTTTCTTAGTGTCTCTGGTTTTTACTATTAATATCTTTGTTATCTTACCTGTCTCTGAGTGTGCTGGGGCCTAGATAAGGATACAGGTTTTCCTTGAGCTTTCCTTTGATGAGATGGTCCAGGGTCTCATGTAAGAAAGGCTGATGCTGAGTATATACATTTTCTACTCCCTAAGACAGGGGGAAATGGTTCTTATGTCATTTTTTTTGGAAATTGCAATATGACAGTTAATGATACTCATATCAGAAAAGGACATGTACTCAATAGAGATTTCACGGGACAAGAGTCAAGCAGGAATTTTAGGAGAATTTTATAGTTAATTATTTTCATCAATTAGAAATGTTCTAATCTTATGAAAAAACTCTGTAATTTAAGGTTAGCTATTATAAAGGAATTTTTAAAATGCAGTTGCTTAAATCCTTTATTATCTCTTCACTGACACCCTTCCTTTTGTGGAAATATTATATGATATGTAGAGCAAATAAAAGGACTATGTAGCAAAGGAGACTAGAAACACTCAGGAAAATGGAAAAATTTCAGGAAACATAAGAAAGGCTAGCAGATTAAAACTCATTTTTGACCATTTTAAGAAAATAGGTTAGTATTTTTAAAAGATCTACACTTGTTTGCTTCATCTTTAATTTCCATCAGAGAAAAACAACCTAACAAATCTTAAACAAATGGAGTAAAATAGCTATGACTAACAGAACTGTCTGCCTTTTTACTCTTGGGTATTTCCTGGAAATATCTCATTATTCCCTTCTCAGCTATTTGGGCCAATGATGATGCGTTCCAATACAGAAAGTATTTAAAGAAAAAGCTTTCAAGAGGATGTCTGCTTTAATTTCATTTAACTGACATAGTACTGGATCAGCAGCAATCCTGAAGTTACTTTGAAGATCATATTCATTCACTCTCAGCTTCAGGGACTTCAACTGTTTCTCATTTAGGAAAGCATAGAGATATCATACCTTCAATCCTTTGAGGAACTGTTTGGTAATAGCCACAGCATCTTTGGGGCTGAAGAGGTCACTTCCTCTGATCCGTTTACCACCATATTCAACAACTGTAGACACAAGCTTTTTTTAAAAAAAAAAAAAAGAGAAACAACCTCTTATTGCTTGTGGAACAGGAAGAAAATAACTTTATTAAGGAAATGAAAACATGAGAGGACAGAATTATACATTTCTGTGAATAAAAACAGTATGACATCATTTGTCAGAGTTAAGGCTATAATACTAGAATTTGGTTCCTGTTTGATGGGATTAATATAAATCTGGTTACCTTGCGATACTTCTCAGAAACACCTTTATTCCTAAGGTCCATCATTAATCCTGGTAGGCTATTGCTGCTGTGTCGCTCATAATGTAGAGCATAAAGCATCACCAGGCGCGCAGCATCAAACTCCGTCACTTTGGGGTTCTGCAGGAGCCTCTTTACATTCTGAAAAAAGAGAGAACTAATATTTATCCTCCCTTCACTTGGGTGATGTATAATATCTTAGTTCTAATAATTATGGAATGGTAGTGATACATCTGACTAAAATACATGTGACTAAGATCACTACTATGGCAATGTACAAGTCATAGGTTTAGCAACTGTTTCAACTACAGAAAATTAAATGCCTTTTGCCTAAGATAAGAATTCAATAAGGACATAAATTCTCACTGTAATTGCTTTAAGACAAACTATGGTTATTTCCCCTTTTCTTTCCTTTGATTGAGATGGTCCAGGGTCTCATGTAGGAAAGCTTGCAATTTCCTCACTGAAATAAGGAACACATACTATTTCCACCACTATTTCTACCACTTCAATCAATACAGCACAGAAGAGAACTGACCAGTTGACTTGTAAAACTCTACTGCCTTTTTTAGTGTCAGTGACCGACCAGTGAAACGGAGACAATTTGGGAGAATTTTACATAGGAGGACTGGGCTTAATCTCCAAGAAGCATCATATATAACAATATGTCTCAACATGGCTTACAGAGATATGAATATGTAACAGCATATAATCTCTAAACTGAATACGTAAGATCTTAAGAGGGCAGGTGCTGATAGCAAAGGAAGCTAGACAAAATCATGTTTAGGTTGTATCAGTCCTCACATTAAGGGACTTCCCTATACTATAGATTTATATTTATTATGCAGAACAAATTAATTAGAGCCAACAAATACTTTTTTTTTTTGCGGTACGTGGGCCTCTCACCGCTGTGGCCTCTCCCGTTGCGGAGCACAGGCTCTGGACGCGCAGGCTTAGCGGCCATGGCTCACGGGCCCAGCCGCCCCGCGGCACATGGGATCCTCCCGGACCAGGGCACGAACCGTGTTCCCTGCATCGGCAGGCGGACTCTCAACCACTGCGCCACCAGGGAAGCCCCAAATACATTTTGATCACTCTATAAGCAAAAGGCACTATGCCAGGCACTGGAGGGGACAAAGAGATGAGTTGGAGACAGTTTCTGTCCTCAGTGAGTTCATAGACAATGGGGTAAAGGGGGATAAAACAAGTATGTTCCATTCTGCTATAAAGTATGTTTCTTAATGCACTTAGCTCTACGAGATTGGTAACTATGGGAATAACACAGAAGGCATATTGGTTTACATGTAAATTTTTCAGCAAGTTAATATTTAGAAAAGATCAGGCACAAGTTTCCTCTTTAAAGAGGAAGCTTTACCAATATGTTAAGGAAAAAAGATGAAAATCCTACAGAAGTGTTTTTTTTAGAAGTAACTGATTTTGTAGCTTTAAGAACTGCTGTGCTTTCCACAATGTTAAGCTATGTGGGGAAAGGGCAAGTGCAAATGAAAAGGATGCAAAGATATTTCTGTGTTAAAAAGCAAAACAAAACAACCCCGAACTGACTGATATTCCCATATCGTATTTTTAATTTTGATGACACAAGTCTCTATGAGAAGCAAATATTTTTGAGACCTTATATGTCGAAGAATAAAACATGAGCCCCAGGAGTAACCACAAAGGATGGTCTGAGTGCATTTCTAGGGGCAAATGCCAGCGAAATTTAACTGTGTTAGCATTTTAATTAGGATTATTATTTTATCAGGGCTCTGATTACAAAGTTATATAGATTTTTCTTTCTCTTTTTTAGTTATATAAATTTTAAGTGATCTGCTTATAACCCTATTTTCCCATAACCTTTGTTTATTTTTAGTGCATGATTTTGCAGAATGTGAAGCTTTTTCAGGAACACATATGTGGTATTATAACAGAAACATATGCATGCAAAAACCAAAAACTGAAAATCAGTGCAATGGGGGACAGGGGACACAAAGTGAAGAGAAGCTCATCTGGTTACTGAGGGATCAATTATAAAAGGTCTTAAAAACTAAATTTTGGAATTAGTTTGAGAGACTGAAAGAGATGCTATTAATAGGAATATGGAAATCAGAGAAAGAAATGAGTTGGGCTGACAGACTAGTAAGAGCCTTCAGGCACTTGATTCTGAGGACATAACAACTAACATCTGTATAGTACTCTGCAACTTACAAGATGCATTTACATACAGTGTCTTTTTAGTACTTCACAACAACCAGGTCTCATGACTAAGAACTCTTTTCTTCACACTAAAGAGGGACTATGATGAAATGGGGAACCTCCCAGGTAGTTTTCAAGTACAAAGTTCTCTGGGTAGGATTCTTATTGTTGCTTTTTAGGTGAACATTTCATTACCATCATCCTTACAGGATCAAAAAGGAATAAATTTCTCTTCTACAGATTTAAACCCTGCAGTCATAAAATTTTCCTTACCTCTTTTGCCTTTTGTGGTAACGTTTCCACACAGCAGTGACTAAATACAGACTATTTAGAATATTTGTTTAAATGTTCCACTAATTTCTACTATAATATGGAGAAAGTTCAGGATACAAATTAATTATCAAGTAAAAATACACAATTTCATATGTATCTCAGTCAACCTGGCATAAGTTTAAAACATCCATCTGGGATCTCTGTTGTCGCTTTTCTTATAGGCACAATATTTCATTTTCTGCCCTTGCAGTCACTCTCTTTTTACCTCAAATCTACTCAATTTCTGACTGACCTGTCCCTGTACTTCTAAGCAAATCTGAGATACTCAAGTAACTGTAAACCCACAAAAACTGGTATGGGGACAGTCAAAGACTATTTGCAGTAATCAGTTTATACCCTTCCTATTTGCTCCTTTCTAATTACCTTTCCTTGAATCTTGACTCTTGGCTCTATTTCCCATTTAAAAAATCCCCTTCTAATCCTTGAGATTTGGTACTGGTATTTAGAGTCCCCGGCTTGACTCTTAGCTCTCCCTCAATGGGAGGCCTTCTGATCCAATAGCCCAGATCTGGCCCAAGACTACGCTGAGTAGAGTACTTTGCTTACTTTTGAGCCCTTAGGACCCAACCCATGGCTCAGTGCAGTGTTCCAGTTAGACTTATGTATTCCCTCATGAAAAGAAACCTGTAGAAACAAGCTGAATTCTTTCTTCTTTTTCAGCTATATAAGTCCTTGAAGAAGCAGGGCCTTTTTGTCTGCCTGGATCCCATGTTATCCTCTGACTTAATTTTGAACTATTTCCCTCATGGCTACTTGACTCATCAACTTGACTGACAGTGACATACATTATATTGAGATTCCAGGGTACTAACCAGAGAAGAGGAGAAAAAGAATCTGAAAGACTTTAATTACATAGGAGGTATGTGTTACACAGTGGTATTTATATGTTGGAAATATGACTGAATTATATAATGAGCTTTTTGGTATCTCTTTTCTTATTAAATTTCCCATAAACCTTGAGATAATCAAGGGAGAAAAGTATACTGTTACATAATAACAATGGCTGAATAAAAAGTGAAACAGAAAACTATTGTCCACTTAAGAAGATGGGATTTGGGCTTCCCTGGTGGCGCAGTGGTTGAGAGTCCGCCTGCCGATGCAGAGGACGCGGGTTCGTGCCCCGGTCCGGGAGGATCCCACATGCCACGAAGCGGCTGGGCCTGTGAGCCATGGCCGCAGAACCTGCGCGTCCGGAGCCTGCGCTCCGCAGTGGGAGAGGCCACAACAGTGAGAGGCCCGCGTACTGCAAAAAAAAAAAAAGAAGATGGGATTCAAAAATCTTCCACTGAATTCTAACATTAGTGTAGGCCCAATGAAGGAATAAGAAAAGAAATGCAAAAACACTATCTTTGAAGGTCAAGTTTCAAAAAGGAGCTAATGTTCATTCAAAAGACATTGATTAAAAAACATTCTTCTCTTCTGATATTTAGAGATTCTTCCATTATTTTGGGCTGACTACTTTTATACTTTTCTGTTTTCTTCTACCAAAACTATGATATAGCAGTACAAGAAAAAACTTTCGTAATGACATGCCTATACTTTAAACCATTGTACAAATTACAGTTGAAGTCTGCAATTAAAGATAGTCCCCATTTTTTTTTTGCTTTAATTTAACCTAAAGAACAGGATCTGTACCTTGTTATCAACTATCACAGTAATGTAGTAAAACACTCAATGAATAGCATTATAAGCCAATAGATTAGAACAGCAAGATGAAATTGGTAGAAGTCTTCAACATGCTGATATGATTAAATAATGAGTCTCATCTAACCGTTTGAGAGAACAGTGTTATGTGACTATAAAGAGCTTATCTAGGAAAAATGATAGAAAGTAGGCAGGACCCAGTTCCAATAACTGGTAAATACATGAGTCAGTATTCTTTTACTTAATGACTAGTCAAATTTAGCTTTGGTGTAGGTCTTCTGCTGGTCAACACTGTTTCTGAAATACTAGTCAAATGATAGTTTAGAGAGAAAAGGATCATTTTTACTCTTAGTTGGTAAAAGTAAAATTGTCAGCTCAATGTGTCCAAAACAATTTTCTTACAATTTTAACGAGAAGCAAAAAAACCCTTCTAAAATCAGGGAGAGTTCCAAGATCATGAGTGAATTAAAAAACATGTCTCGGATGCCATAAAGAAAGGAGAATGTACCATCAAACAATAATACTGAAAATAGCGATAGTTAATATTCATTGAATGTTGTAAGTACCAGGTACCGTATTAAGTGCTTTACATGTATTAGCTCATTACACCCTCACAAAAATCTTTGAAGTAAGTACTGATATTTCCCCCTATTTTACAGACAAAGAGACTAAGACTTGGAGTGGTTAAGAATCATTTTCAAACCCAAGCCATCAAAGATTCAAGCTATCAGCCACTATTCTATACTGCTTCAAACAGAACTCTTTATCTTCATTTCTCTAATGAATATTTGTTGTCCTTACTACGTGTTATTAATGGGATGATTTGAGATCTTTTACTCAAGGTCAGGAAAGAAGGATATAAAAAGACTAGATCCTCCTTCCAAATGAAAAGCTGTAATATGACAACAAAAGGGGGAGAAATTATTTACTTTCTGAAGATTTTTCTCTTTATGGTATGAAAAAAAATCTTCCTTACTAATCAAATGAGTCTTTTCCAAGGCTATGCATATGTCTCAATGATAGTACACTGCAGTTTGGTTCTAGTGAAATTCTTCTGAATCAATTTTTTTGTTACCCTGTAGGGTAACTGGTTAGAAGTGGCAGCAATTGATAGGTTAAATTTTAGCAATGTATGAGCTTTTTTTTGCCTCACCATGATACAGTTATTATTCAATAAAGCAAACCTCATCTTTACTCAAAAGTCAATTCATCGCTTATTATCACCTAAGGTCAAGCCAAGGAATGCTGTAACCCATCTAGGGGTCAGGCCCCTGGCATCTACTCATTATTAAAAGTTCTCTTTATTGACTATTTCTATCATGTTGTCAAAGAAATCCTTTATGATGGGGGAGTCCAAATCAACTGCTCACTGTAAAACCCTAATACCCTGGGCAAGAAAACCTTCAAAAGATAATTTTTAAAAATATAAAGTGGATCACAAATGGAATTCATATTTTAAAGTATCTGTTTTTCTTTTAAAATGAACAAAAAATAAGATTTCAGGCAAGGAATTACAGTAGCCTTTTCTAACTGCTTTCCATATGGTGAGATACAAATAAAGATACTAAAATTGGCTAGTGATTAAGTTTGGTTCTATTGTTTTAAAGGGAAAAATAAAATGATAAAGAAACATAAGGAAATTTAAATTTAGTTACAGGACACAATTCTGTTTTTACTTAATAAGAGAGAAAAAATCACTTTATTGAGAAAAATAAAAAGTTTTCATAGGAATGCTTCTATTAGGCCCACAAACCAACTATAAACTCTTATTAATAGTGTTGTTTAAAGTAAGTTGGCCAAGTTAAGTAGATTGTGATGTATCTTTACAAAGGAATACTATTTAGTGATTTAACAGAATGAGTGTTTAGGTTCTGGTCTGGAACAATCTCTGAGATACACAGTTAAGTGAAAAAGCAAAATGCAGAGCTATGTGTACAGTATGGTATCATCTGAATTTTAAAAAGAGAGAGAAGGAAATATACACACTCATAGAGGCTTGCACACACACTGAATAACTGTAAGAATGCAAGTGAAACTAACAGACTCAGTTTTTACTATGTATCTCTTTCATCAAGTACTTATCTATTTAAGAATTAGAATTTATGATAAACCATAATGGTATATCATAACAATGATATAAAGAATATAAAACAATGTTGATATATGTATAACTGAATCACTTTGCTGTACAGCAGAAATTATTACAACAGTGTAAATCAACTATACTTCAATAAAAAAATAGATTAAAAAAATTCATATTTAATACAACTAAAAATATAAAGTCAGCCTAAAAGTTCTTTGTGAAGATTTACGAACACAGAGATAAAATTAAGTGTTGACAGAAGTACTTTTCATAAATATAAAGCCAATAGCATCTTTATGATTTTCAAAATGATGGTGTTTTCAGAGGAACTCTTGATAAACTTTTTTTTTTTTTAATTTTTTTTTTTTTTTGCAGTACGCGGGCCTCTCACTGTTGTGGCCTCTCCCGTTGCGGAGCACAGGCTCCGGACGCGCAGGCTCAGCGGCCATGGCTCACGGGCCCAGCCGCTCCGCGGCACGTGGGATCTTCCCGAACCGGGGTACGAACCCGAACCCGTGTCCCCTGCATCGGCGGGCGGACTCTCAACCACTGCGCCACCAGGGAAGCCCAATAAACATTTTTAAAAATTAGAAACCAACAACTATCAACATAAATCACAGTGAAGACTTTGGTATAACTAGAGCAACCACAGGTGGGTGAATTTCTTTCTTTTGATTGTACCGTATCTTTAAAAAATTGTACTTAGAGGAAGGAAACTAACCTTTACAAAGTACCTACCATATGCGAAGCATTTTATATCTCATTAAATCCTGATAACAACCTAAAAGTTTGAAATCATTATCCCTGAGGCTTGGGCAAAATAAGTAATTTTCCCAGAGAAGCTTTGATACATAGAGATAGGACATAAGCCAGGATAGTCTGTGTTGTTTCCATTATACCATGCTGGCTTTATTTTATAAAGCAAAATTGCAGCAGGGACAGAAAGAGACTAAGTTTTAGAATATAGGGTCCTATTAATAAGGAAATGTGCTTCTTATAATAAGTGGCTTAGAAACAGCTATTTCCCAAAGGACTCTCATTCCCAAGTTACTTACTCTCAGTGATACCACGTTTTGCCACTTCTCAGGAATTTTGGAATTATCTCTGATTTGTTCTGCCTTGTTATCCTTATATCTAATCTGTCACTAAATAGTTATTTTCTCCCTTTGAAATGTCTTTCATATTTGCCCTTCTGTACATTTTTACTACTACCACTATGAGTCGTCTAGCCTCTCTGACTTTAATTTTTTTCATCTCCAAAGCATCCTTACTAGATTAAATTTCCTTAAATACTGCTTTCATCATATCAACTTTTCAGTACGACTCTACAATGGATCTCTTTGCCTATCTCAGCAAGTACAAATCCCCCTTACAAGTGTTTTCATAAACTAGTTCCTGTTTACCAATTCAATTTTATCTCCTATGTCTCTTGCACACCCACTCTCAACAGGTCATGCTGTTTATTATTTTCTGCATAGTTCTGCATCTTTTCTTTGCTGAAATCCTCCTCCAGATTCTATTCATTATTTATGGTCCATCTTAATATCACCTTCTCTAAGAAACTGTCCCTAATAACCTCAAATCTTTAATTATAGTCAGTACCACAATTTTGACTTAATTAAATATTAACTTGAAACACTGCCTAATTGTTACTCATGCTTTAGTTTTGTCTCTTCAACTTATACTGTAAATTTCATGAGGCTAGGGTTTGATTATGTCACTTTTTTCTAAAATCTTCTGATAGCTCTCATCATTTTAAGATTAAAGCCCAACCTCCTTTCAATGGCCATAACCAGGCCTCAATCTGTCCTTCTGGCTTATCTAAGACCACTCCTCATCTTATATCCAGCACTGGCTACATTGAATTAGTCTCTGTTCCCTTAAAAAAAAAAATTTTTTTTTTTTCGCATCTCCATGCCTGCATTCCCTCTGCTGAGAATTTCCTTCCTTTTCTCTGGTTGGTGCACTTCTACTTAATTACTTGTCCAGAACCAGACCTAATGTCATTGTCTCTAAGAAGCTCTAAGAAGATTCATCCTTAGGGAAAACAGTTGTCCTTCCTTTGTATTCCCATATCCCTTTGTAATACCTCTAGTATAGCACTTATTGCATATATTATAATTCCTGGTTTAAATTTCTTTCTCCCCTACTAAAATGTGAACTTTTTGAGGAAAAGGATGGTATCTTATTCATTTTTGTACCGCTAGATCCTCACAGCACCATGAACATGGAGCAGGCATTCACGTTTGTAGAATAAACAGCAGATGTTCAATAATAAAAACCTAGATAATGCATTTTAATATATTATACCTTTAAAATCTTCCTAACAATCCTGTGAGATAAATATCATTATACTTATTTAACAAATGAGGAAAATGGCTCAGATTAAGCCAACGGCTCCAGGTCACAAAGCCAGCAGTGGCAAATCAAACACTGAAATTCAGATCTTCTGATTTTAGTCTAGCATTCTTTCTAGTTGACTAGGCTGCACTCCTAAACACTCAATTAATTGCCTGAACCCTTTGAGACTGCACATTTTTCTTCTACTGTCCCTCTTATCATACATCTATCTTAAATAATACTAATTTGTGTTCTTGTCTCAACTGCCTGTTACACTGTAAATTCCATGTTGGTTAAGAAGGATTACTTGCCTTTGTATCTCTTGCTCTGCCTGGCACAGTGCCTTACACATAGTAGGTGCTCATCAAATTGGATTGAATAGATACCTGGAGAGCACTAGAATGGTCATTTTGACAGGCCAGTTCTTGCTCAACCTCCGAAACCTCCAGCAGATTCCGCTCACTGACCAACCGAGACAGCTCTCCAACCACTGTCACGTGCTTTGATACAGTCCCGGACATCTTCTTGAATTGTGGGTAATTCTCAACAAAGGCCTGCCATGGGAAAAACATCAGTTAGGGGTTCTGTTATTTCTTGATGAGGATAGGCATATATGAAGAAGGAGAAAAAAAAAAAAAAAAAAAAGGAAGGGATTATTCTTCTGCCCAGACTAAGGCATCTAATACTTTCAATCACATGGCATTTTGTTATGCTTAAGAAGAGAAGAACTAGTGTATGTCAGTAGACTGAGTCTTTAAATAGACCAAATATGACTGATGAATGGAAAGAAGTACATGGCTTATTATGAAGTTTTCACTATATTTTTTCCTAAAGAGAAGTATTACAGAAAATAATCTCAAACCAAACAAAAGGAATCAAGGCAGAAATCAGACCCAGAATATTCCAGAAATGCTGCTTACATGAACAGTTCCAAAGTCTTGTATGTTAATCATCCATGTACATGTTCAATTTACCTTCATGTCTGCTATTGATTCTAGTTTTTGCTGTTCTTTTGGTTTCTTCTTCTGAAAGTCTTCCATGAGATTCTTTATGTTGCTACCAATCTCAGCAAAGTTCAGGTACATATTCTGTGAAAAAGAAAGTTGGAAACACAGTTCTATCAAAAAGTCTGACTTTCAGACAATTTAAAAGAAGTAAAAAAGAACACTGAATACAGTGAGAACTGAAGGGCAAGAAAATTTCATTATCATTACCAAATCTGGATATTGGCCAGGACACTGGTGATGAATACCATTACCATTTTCATAAAGGGCTAAGGACAGGAGGGAAGTAAATAAATTGGGTTCTAATTTTAAAAGTACAAAACTAAGTATGTGATTACTGTGAAAAAAATATTGTTAAAGGGTCAGAAAAAAGTCTGCCTTCCCTTGAGATGCAGTTTATCTACAGGATGCCTCTATCATCCTTCTACATGAAATCCCCAACCTGCTCTCATTCTAACAAATCAATATTAACCTTCTTACATAAAAACAACTAAAAAAATTTAAAAGAATTTTAAACCACTTACGTTAGCATAGAATTCATCATTTTCAGCAGATAGGACCACCTCTCTCAAGTCTTTACTGATCCCTGGCACTCTGGAAAGATCAATCCGATTGTTGTTTATGCCCAGTAGTTCATGGACCATGGCCTGATATGTCCACTAAATAAAGAATTATGAGAAAAAAAAAATTGGTAACTGACAAAACATGGAAATAGTACACGTTCAGGAAAACAAATAAAAACTGATAACATTCTTAGTAACTAGTCTTGTTTACATGGAGGTTCTCTATTTAGCTCAAATTTTATTAATACTTTGTGCTATACTAAGCATTAAGATTGTCATTTTAATTGGTTAAACATCCGACAGTCAAAACGCTTTTAGATCTCACACTTTTGGAAGAAGGGCAGCCAGATTAATATTCCTGATAGAAAGAAAACAAATTAGATCTATCATTAGCTCCAATTTTTGCCTGTGAATTAAGAGTATATTTTTGGCTTCATAGATAGGGCTATATTGGTACTGCAGTTACAAGCTGTACCATTTCCTGTACACTTCTGTGGTTTTCTGCAGCATGAGAAGTGTGTTCTTGCAGATCTGAGTGGTGCTATATTTATCCTGGGAACACTAATATTACCAGAAAAAAACCTTGTGAGTTGATCAAAACACACATATTCAGAAGCTTGCCTCTGAATCCATTTTACTTTATATTTTTACTTAATATGCATTGTGAAGAAGGACCGGTTTCCAGTCTTACTTATTTTGTAAAACTGGAAAGGAGAAACCCCCAAATTTGCCTTCTCACCTTTTATGGAGAACAGGTTACTTTTAGTCACAGGCCCATTAGAGAAAACTAAGTATTTTCCAGCAAATTACCCTCTAAATCTAGAGTCTAAATACTAGATTTGTTAAAATAACTTCAGAGGTTATAAAAGTAGGTGCTTTATTTCCTAAAATATTTGCCAATGAGTCCTTGAAAAGGCAAGTTTCATTACAGCATTTAAAATAAGTACAACAAAATGCTTTATGCTTCCACAGACAGCATCCTGTGCATGCTTTCGCCATTAGCACATACTTCATAATTAAAATGATGTTTACTTTCTCCTCATTGGATCATGAATTCTTTGAGAGCAGAGACTGTATCTTTTAACCTTTTATCTCTAGCACTTAATACAGTACCTGGCACATAATAGGTCCTCAGTGAAATCTGTTGAATGAATGATTGCTTTTCTTTGGGAAACTAAATTATAAGCAATTATTTTTCTTTCTACTTTTTTATATCATCAAAATTTCTTTAGTTATATTATTAAAATGTATATAAAATATGTAACACATAATATGTAATATATAGAATATATAAAATTATATTACTTTGAATTTTAGGAATATAAGCTATCTATCATATCATAGAGAAGTTGCATTCCACAGCACAGATTTCCCCTAGCATTAACATTATTATTATAAGCTGGGATGGAACTGAAATATAGACTGTGCCTCTTCCTATAAATTTAAAGTCACTATTAATAAAGTATCTACAAAGTGTAAGGCACTGTGCTTGTATTCACAGAAGAACAAACATTAGTAAGACACAGTCTGCCTTGGAGGAATGTATAACCTAGGAGACTGTGAAAACAATCAAAGGTACAACATAGAAAGTGCAGCATGAGACATAAGATGTTTCAAAAACACTTAAAAGATGTTTCAAGTGGTTTTAAAGGATAAGAATTTTGAGAGGTGAAGATGGGAAGAGAATGTATTCCAAACATGCCAGAGTTCAAAGAGAGGTCACAACATGAATAAAATGATGGCAGGAAATCATGAGGTATATCTACACAGTAGTGGGCTGCAGGTTTTCTATAACGTTGAGCCTACATTGTGAAGGCTCATGGATGCCAAGTTCAGGAGTCTGTATTTCATCCAGTAGGCAAATGGGAAACAATTAAGATTTTTAAGCCAGGAGTAATAGGATCAGAACTTACTTTAGTAAAAGTAATTTAACAACATTGTATCCTTGAGATACATTAGAGTGGAGAGAAATTAAAAGTGGGGAATCAAGAAGATGACTATTTGAGGATTCCTATAAGAGATTAGATACACCAAGATAATGGCAATATGAATGGAAAAGAGCAGACACTGGAAAAGTAGAATCTACAGACCCAGAAGTTGCCTTAATTAGGGATGGTGGCAGAAAGGGACAGGAAGGATGAGGCAGAAGAAAGAGCTGAAGATGACTGTGGCTGGAAGAACACTGATACCAGAATGCTAGGAAACACAAGGCAAAAACAAGAATAGCTGAAAATAAGAAGGCAAATAAATGGACCATGTTGTTCATTTCCACATCTGCATTTTGATGAATACCACTTGAAATCATCTTTTCTTTATGCTAACAAAGGGCTCTGCACCTGGTTTAGCAATGGGGTGATGGCATCATCGCAGCGATCTAAAATAAGTAGCAATGGAGGAACCTCAGTCCGCCGGAATTCAAACAGTTCATATTCTTTAGTTATCACCTGCTGTGGGTAAGAGAGAAAGACGGTTTGGTGAACCAATTAGTAGCAGATAGAGATGATAAAAATAGAAAATTTATATTTTTCTATAAATTTATATTTATATTCTATAAAATTTATATATTTATATAAATAGAAAAACACAAAAACCACATTTAACAATAGTTTCTTGCACTTTCATACGCCTTCCATAAAAGGATTCAAAAGCTTGACAAAGTTTAGTAGCATTCTGTTTAAGGGGTTAGGATTTGAAACTCTATTTTACAAGCGGTTTAATAGGATCAAAAGAAGTTAAGTAGCTTGCAAATGTTTCTTGGGTTAAACCTAAGAATCTTAGCTCTAATTTGTTGCTTTTGGTCTTGAATTACAAATGCCTACTTCTTTGCCAGTAAACCTAACACATCATCTCCTTAGTTTTAGATAAAATATTCCTTTAATTTCTGAAATATGAAAAAGAAATGAATGGTCTTGATGTTTTGGAACTGGAGATAGAGAATGCCATACCTTAACACATTCTGCAAGTCTCTTTGCTGTCTCTGATGAAAGCTGGTAACGAATCATGGGACATTTCTTCAGAGATAAAAGGAGAGCTGTCAGTCCTTGAGTTGCTCTGGATAGTTGGACTGGATCCCAATTTCGACCCTTTTTGTTAAAACATATATTCAGAGAAAATATTTGAATTTTATCTTACAAGTCCAATTACTTACTGAATTAACTCCTACCTGATAAATAAACTTTAAAAAAAATCCTTTCTTTCCATACCTGGCAGCAACCCAGAATATTGAGGGAAAACAAATGTGGATTCACAGCAATGTAATCACCATAAAATTCCTGCAAACAAAGCACCAAGATTAGTCAGTCATTCCATAAACAACTAACTGTATCATGCAATAATATTTTTATATGTGATATAATACTATGTGATACAATCAAATTTGAGGAAATGCAGGTATAAAAGAGAAAAACTGATCAATTAACAATTGAGTAACAATAGTCAATGTGAGGGAATTAATAAGATAATCATAAAATAGTAGCAATAATAATAAATCTTTAACAAAAAAAACCCAAAAAACAAAGTTGTATAAATATACATATCATACTTAAGAAGACTTATCAATTAGTAAAAATAAAACACTGCTAAAGATACACAATGTTACACTCAGTTAGATGAATAAGAACTTTGCTGTCCAGTGTATTCTCATGAGGGAGAATATGATTTAAAATAGGTCATTCTTTTTTCATTCATTTATCACCTAGCGCATCCTCCTGAAAATCCAAAACTTGTTTATTTGCTTCCCTGAGGACGATATTCTTCACTTAGGTGATAAATGTATTCAAACATCTGTGATAATGTATTCAAGAACACTAAAGGGTTTAAGAAGGAAAAGGTAACATGAAATGTTCTAATGTGAAGTATTACATAGAATGCAGAATAAACATTTAGGAGTTGCACGTTTTAACCTAATGACAAATCTGCTTACTACTTCCCAAAGCAAGATAATCACAAACAGAACTTTAATAAACCTCATTCACATCCTTTACTTCCTATTCTCTCCCAATCAGATATAAACTATAACTGTGTAGATGAATATTCTTACAGTATAGCTCATAAAACTAGCATAAGACATATCTGGCTCTGCCCCCAACCCTGTGAAACCATCCCTACCAATCCAGTACCTTTCCAATCTCCTCATTCCCACTGCCTACTTTAATTCTATTCCCACTCAATTTGATACCTCTTCCAAATTTTCTAAATATGAGTATAGTCTGGTGCAATGCACATTTATTGTGTCTGATCAATAGCTTCCTTTCTTATGAGACAACACCTTCCATATTTTTAGACTCAAATCTTTAGAAAGGGCCAATATAAGATATGTATTAGAGGACCAATATGTTTACCTGAACCTCAGCCACCACTTCCTGTTCATCAGCTTCAGCTAATGACTTCACATCACTCTTGCTGATCACATTACTGAAATCTGAAACAGACATATAGGTTGTGGTTGACTCAGAGGAGATCACCTCTGCTGCAATTAGACATAAATGGGCCTGACAGTTAAAGTCTAATGACTAAGTGAAATTTAGTATACATTGTGGTATATGTCAAACACCTTCACATTGGAATGAACAGCACAAATATGTTTAAATCTGTAAATTCATAATACTTAAAAAAAAAAAAAAAGGGAACCACCATTGTAGGCATTGGAGGATGCTAGGGAACCAAATCATTATATTGAAAATAGCAAATACTGGGAAAGAAGTAAGCTTTTATCCTTTTATATGCAAACTGTACCACCAGATAACCAAACGGTAGATGAGGGGAAACTCCTCTTTAAAGAAATTTTCCAGCTAAAAAGCAAAGGAATGATAAGGATAGAATTAAAACACCATCATTTTTTTCAAACCCCAAATGAATCAATGGATGGAACTAGGCATTGGGCATTAACCTCTGCTAGTATCACAGTAAGAGACAATCAGTGGAAGCACACAACACTATCTATGAAATATTCTTGTCAAAAAGAAATCAAATCTGAATCTAATTAAGCCTCTGTATCCAAGTACCAATTTACAAGAACTAGAGGACAGAGGGAACATTTTAAATTGCAAAGAACATGTTAAAGTACCCCATGCAGACGCAATCAGCAAGATCCAGGCTGTGGGAAACTTTAACAGAACAATGTAGTTTCTTCAATAAATAGACCGCATGGCGGTTGGGGTAGAGAGAGGACTTATAGAAGATCAAAGAAACTTAAACAACGTATCAACCAATAGCAATGTGTGGACCTTACTATGATCCTGAGTCAAACAAACAGTGGTGAAAAAAAAAGGCATGAAAGAATTTGAAATTTGAACACTGAATGAATATTTGAATAAATAGGAATTTTCTTCATTATTTGGATATAATAATGGTACTCTTTAAAACAAGTCCTTATCATTTAGAGATGTACATGGAAATATTTATGGATGAAATCATGTGATGTCTTAGGTTATCTTCAATATGATATTGATGGGGGAGTAGACAGCAGTATAGCTAAAACAAGATTGGCCATGGTACGATAATTGTAGAAACTGGGTGATGGGTACATTGGGATTTATTAGACTATTCTGTCTACTTTTTACATATTTGAAAACTTCCATAATAAAAAAGTTTTTTTTTAAATAAAGGAAGGGAGGAGCCTGTTATACAAGATGTTTAGTAGACATAAGAATATACAAAAATAAAATTATTAAAAAATGACATGAGCAGACGGCCAGTTTTGTGCTAATTAATATAAATTGTGCTAAAAGTCTGTAAAGAATAAAATCACTATATATAAACTCATTTTAGTTTATTTCAATCAAATAAAATTGTGAAATTGATTGCTCCACCCAAGACATTTCAACAGTCCATTTTTCCTAGGTTTTAGTGCTAACTACTTTAACATATATAATTTTTTTTGACTTCATAGATTTACAGCCCAAATCAAACAAACTTTACAACCAGAAGAGTAAATATTAGACTTATTTTTGGTTATTAATCCCAACCACTGCATCAAATAACTTTTCAGAGGAAAAGGGAGTCTTTCATCTCATGATCTATTCAATTTTTAGCTAAGAGACTCAGCAAAACAGTAATTCTGTTAGATGTCCAAATAAATTTGACAGTATGGGGAATCAATCTCTCTCTATATATAAATATATGTGTGTGTGTATGTGTGTCTATGTGTGTCATTGAATACAAAAGTTTTTATACTTTCCTATCCTCAGTACCTAGCTTGTAATCTGACTTAAAAAATACTGGAATGACTGCACACCTATCAGAATGGCTAAAATGAAAAACAGGGACAACACTAAATGCTTGTGAGGATACAAAGAAATTAGATCACCTGTACACTGCTAATGGAAATGTAAAATGGCACAGTCATGCCAGAAAACATTTAGCAGTTTCTTAAAACACTAAACATGCAACTACCATATGACCCAGCAATTGCTCCCTGGGTATTATTTATTACAGAGAAATAAAGACTTACGTTCACACAAAAACCTATACACAAATATTTATAACAACTTTATTTGTATTAGCCCGAACTAGAAACAACTGAGATGTCCTTCAACAGGTGAACAGTTAAACAAATTGTGGTACGTCCATACCATGGAATACTACTCAGTAATTAAATAAATAAATAAATAAATAAAAATGAGGACTTCCCTGGTGGCACAGTGGTTAAGAATCTGACTGCCAATGCAGGGGACACAGGTTCGAGCCCTGGTCTGGGAAGATCCCACATGCCGCGGAGCAACTAAGCCTGTGCACCACAACTACTGAGTCTGTGCTGTAGAGCCCGTGAGCCACAACTACTGAGCCTGCATGCCACAACTACTTAAGCCCACGCACCTAGAGCCCATGCTCTGCAACAAGAGAAGCCACCGCAATGAAGCCTGAGCACGGCAATGAAGAGTAGCCCCTGCTTGCAGCAACTAGAGAAAGCCCGTGCGCAGCAACAAAGACCCAATGCAGCCACAGATAAAATCAAATAAATTTAAAAAAAGAAAAGAAAAGAAAAAAAGGAAAAAAAAGCTTAATTGAAAAAGAAAACCGGTGATTATTAGCCAAAAATAAAACAATAACAAAAACAAAAGTAGGATGACAGAAAAGAATAAAATTGCCTGTTTTTACCTCCTGGGGTTGTTTTAAGGGCTGAATAAAATATGAGAGAGTTCTTATAAACTACAGTGTCTTATCACAAATGTTAATTTTTTGTACCATTATTAAATTGTAGTATATGCGGAAGAAAGTATATATCTTAGACTATAGTTTAAACCCTAAAACTCCAAAGCCTTCAAGTAAACAATACAAATGCTATGAAGATCAATAAGGACATCTAGAGGAGAAAAGATGTAACTTCCAAAGCAGAATGTATTACATTAAAAAAATCCATATAAATTGTATAGTAACCACAAACCCAGTTTATTTCCAGGCCTCCACCCCCTTTCCCCTCCCCAAAAGTTATGCAAATAGGAGATATCTACCTGATGACTTGTACTTTCAAGTATTACATAAAGTTGCAAAGAGAAGTAGACTGTTTTCATCTGGTATGTAAAGTAAATCTCTGCTTTTCCAACAAACTCAAGTATATCCTCCCTCCAAATAAATAAATCAGCTTCTATACCTCCGTTCATAAAAGTGTAAAATAGAAATAAATATACATACGTTTTTGGCAAAGGTAGAATGTGAAAGTTGACTACTTACAACTTTTGACTTATAAAGAAACTTGAAGGGCAAAGTAAAACTTAACAAAAAATTTGTTTTTAACCTAAGCAGTCTATGATGAGTGGAAATCACATTTAGCTCTCAGAAACAGAATGTTGGTCCAACACTTTTAACACTTTTAATACTTTGAAATGACAAAAAAACTCACCAGACTCTTTCAGTGATGGATTCAATTAACTTACTGATGATATGAAGTACCCAATAGAACATATTAGCTAGGATTTAGTTACATGATTGAACAGGTGAAATAACATACTTACAAATAAAATATATACTGTATTTGGGTCTTCGGAGCTCCTGAATCAGATAATCCACATTCTCCTAGAAAAGAAAAGAACAAACAAATAAAATACGAGAACTGCTTAAGTGAAAAAGTAATAAATACGTATCATCCACTGATTTATTTAAGTATTTACTGAGTGCCTACTGTGTGCTGAGGTCTAGATTAAGTGTGTGTATGTTGGGAGGGGTGAGGGCTGGGGATAAAAAAGAGCCACATTGAATACAATGATCAGGAATCATGTAACATTAACTAGCTGCATTGCCTTGGCCAAATTAAGATTAAAAAATATAAAGGACATAGATGTTGAAATACAACATAAAAGAGATAATAATTCTGCAAATTTGCCTCAAGCTGTTTGTTTATAAATTTTATTCATCTGATCAAAATTCTTATGTGGAACATCAAAATGTGTCTAGTCCTTTAAAAACCAACATTCAAGAGAAAATATAGTTAAATATATTCACTTGGACTTTTAACTAATTGGGACCAGAGGCTGCAGAACTGCAATATTTGTGAAGTATTTGCAAACAGTAGGCTAAGACCTTTTGTATAATTACATTATTTAAAAATAAAACATGAAATTTAGAACTAAAAGTTGATTTTCAAATGGTCAAAACATAATAATTCCAATTACATACGATCATAATGCAGATCTTATCTACTTTTGATACTATAACATATGGTTAAATTTCAGTATAAAGTTGATCCCCAAATTATACATGATATAAAATATCATTTTTGAATGTTAAAAAACCATACATTTCCTTATAGAATTAAAAGTAATGTAAGCAATACATATTGCTTGTTAAATGGGAAAAAGACTTTAAAAACTGTAATTTAAATTTAAAAAACACATTAAAAATTAACTTTATAATGTAATCTTAAGGAAAAATTGTTTTTGACAACACATTTTGAGTTTGAGAGAACATACATATGGCACTGAAAGAGCTTCTCCAATAAAAAATGTTAGGAAATGATAGACTGATAATCTCTAAGATCCCTCCCAGAGCCAAAATTTCATGACTAATATGAAACAATTGGAAACTACTGTATCAAAGAATTAATTGATGTATTAATTAATTCAGGAACTATTTATTGAGTATCCATTATGTGGCAGGCAATGGGGACAGAACAGTGTGAAAATATGCTCTCCTGGAGCTTACTGCTGGTAGGTGAGACATATTAATTAATCACACAAACCATACGAGACTTCAACCATGACAAGTAATAGGAAGAGGAAGATGGTGCTATAAGTGTTTATGAGAGGGGAGTTTGAACTGGTCAGCAAAGCCAGGAAAGATTTGCTTGAGGGAGTGAAAACGTTCCAGGCAAAGAGAAGAACCTGTGCAAAGGTCCTGCGGCATGACGGAATACAGTGGACTGAAAGGTTAGTGTGGCTAAGAGCAAAAGGGGAATGGTTTGAAATGAGGCTATAGAAATAGTAGGAACTAGACCATACAGGGCCTTGCAGGCCACACTTAATGGAGTTTTGTCTTTATCATAAAAGCAATGAGCAAACGTTCAAGGATTTCAAGCGTGGTGACATCGTCAGATTTGTATATTGGAAAGTAGATAATGTACAAGCACTGGAGTTAAGAACATGAATATAAAACAAGAGAACATACAAAGTAAGATTGAAATAGTAAAGGAATTTTAAAGGAGGACTCAAGTTAGATTTAGAAGATGATGGCTGAAAACTGACAGAAGGCTAAAGAATCTTTAATCAGGGGAAGAGAACAGAGGACAGGAATGAGTATGTAAAGGGATCATAAAAAGGCCAATCTGGCTGCAGTGGAGGAGCAGAGGTAGGACATAGGAGGTTGAATACATAAGGGCAGACCAGACCAGCTAAAGGAGGGCTCTGAGGGCTACTAAATATAAACTTAATGATGGAAGTAAAATTGAGTCATTAAAGGTTCCTGAGCATAGATGTGAATAAAATGATAAAGACTGAAAACACTGATATAAGTATGTATTGGTGGCCCTGAACCAAGATGGTGGAGTAGAAGGACGTGCTCTCACTCCCTCTTGCGAGAACACCAAAATCACAACTAGCTGCTGGACAATCATCGACAGGAAGACACTGGAACTCACCAAAAAAGATACCCCACATGTAAAGACAAAGGAGAAGCCACAATGAGATGGTAGGAGGAGCACAATCACAGTAAAATCAAATCCCATAACTGCTGGGTGGGTGACTCACAGACTGGAGAACACTTATACCATAGATGTCCACCCACTGGAATGAAGGTTCTAAGCCCCACATCAGGCTTCCCAACCTGGGGGTCTGGCAACAGGAGGAGGAATTCCTAGAGAATCAGACTTTGAAGCCTAGTGGGATTTGATTGCAGGACTTTGACAGGACTGGGGGAAACAGAGACTCCACTCTTGGAGGGCACACACAAAGTAGTGTGAGCATCAGGACCCAGGGGAAGGAGCAGTGACCCCAGGGGAGACTGAATCAGACCTACCTGCTAGTGTGGGAGGGTCTCCTGCAGAGGCAGAGGGTGGCTATGGCTCACCATGGGGGCAAGGACACTGGCAGCAGAAGTTCTGGGAAGTACTCCTTAGCGTGAGCCCTCCCAGAGTCTGTCATTAGCCCCACCAAAGAGCCCAGGTAGGCTCCAGTGTTGGGTTGTCTCAGGCCAAACAACCAACAGGGAGGGAACCCAGCCCCACCCATCAGCAGTCAAGCAGATTAAAGTTTTACTGAGCTCTGCCCACCAGAGCAACAGTCACCTCTACCCACCACCAGTCCCTCCCATCAGGAAACTTGCACAAGCCTCTTAGACAGCCTCATCCACCAGAGGGCAGACAGCAGAAGCAAGAAGAACTACAATCCTGCAGCCTGTGGAACAAAAACCACATTCACAGAAAGAAAGACAAGATGAAAAGGTAGAGGGCTATGTACCAAATGAAGGAACAAGATAAAAGCCCAGAAAAACAACTAAATGAAGGGGAGACAGGCAACCTTCCAGAAAAAGAATTCAGAATAATGATCGTGAAGATGATCCAGGACCTCGGAAAAGAATGGAGGCAAAGATCAAGAAGATGCAAGAAATGTTTAAAAAAGACCTAGAAGAATTAAAGAACAAACAAACAGAGATGAACAATACAATAACTGAAATGAAAACTATACTAGAAGGAATCAATACCAGAATAATTGAGGCAGAAGAACGGGTAAGTGACCTGGAAGACAGAACGGTGGAATTCACTGCTACAGAACAGAATAAAGAGAAAAGAATGAAAAGAAATAAAGACAGCCTAAGAGATCTCTGGGACAACATTAAACACAACAACATTCGCATTATAGGGGTTCCAGAAGGAGAAGAGAGAGAGAAAGGGCCCAAGAAAATATTTGAAGAGATTATTGTTGAAAACTTCCCTAACATGGGAAAGGAAATAACCACCCAAGTCCAGGAAGTGCAGCGAGTCCCATACAGGATAAACCCAAGGAGAAACACGCCGAGACACATAGTAAACAAATTGGCAAAAATTAAAGACAAAGAAAAATTATTGAAAGCAGCAAGGGAAAAACTACAAATAACATACAAGGAAACTCCCATAAGGTTAACAGCTGATTTCTCAGCAGAAACTCTACAAGCCAGAAGGGAGTGGCATTATATACTTAAAGTGATGAAAGGGAAGAACCTACAACCAAGATTACTCTACCCAGCAAGGATCTAATTCAGATTCGATGGAGAAATCAAAAGCTTTACAGACAAGCAAAAGCTAAGAGAATTCAGCACCACCAAACCAGCTCTACAACATATGCAAAAGGAAATTCTCTAAGTGGGAAACACAAGAGAAGAAAAGGACCTACGAAAACAAACCCAAAACAATTAAGAAAATGGTCATAGGAACATACATATCAATAATTACCTTAAAAGTGAATGGATTAAACGCTCCAACCAAAAGACACAGGCTTGCTGAATGGATACAAAAACAAGACCCATATATATGCTGTCTACAATAGACCCACTTCAGACCTAGGGACACATACAGATTGAAAGTGAGGGGATGAAAAAAGATATTCCATGCAAATGGAAATCAAAAGAAAGCTGGAGTAGCAATACTCATACCAGATAAAATAGACTTTAAAATAAAGAATGTTACAAGAGACAAGAAAGGACACTACATAATGATCAAGGGATCAATCCAAGAACAAGATATACCAATTATAAATATATATGCACCCAACATAAGAGCACCTCAATACATAAGGCAACTGCTAACAGCTCTAAAAGAGGAAATCAACAGTAACACAATAATAGTGGGGGACTTTAACACCTCACTTACACCAATGGACAGATCATCCAAAATGAAAATAAATAAGGAAACACAAGCTTTAAATGACACAATAGACCAGATAGATTTAATTGATATTTATAGGACATTCCATCCAAAAACAGCAGATAACACTTTCTTCTCAAGTGCGCACAGAACATCTCCAGGATAGATCACATCTTGGGTCACAAATCAAGCCTCAGTAAACTTAAGTAAACTGAAATCATATCAAGTATCTTTTCTGACCCCAATGCTATGAGATTAGAAATGAATTACAGGGAAAAAAAAGTAAAAAAACACAAACACATGGAGGTTAAACAATACGTTACTAAATAACCAAGAGATCACTGAAGAAATCAAAGAGGAAATCAAAAAATACCTAGAGACAAATGACAATGAAAACACGATGATCCAAAATGTATGCGATGCAGCAAAAGCAGTTCTAAGAGGAAAGTTTATAGCTATACAAGCCTACCTCAAGAAACAGGAAAAATCTCAAATAAACAATCTAACCTTACATCTAAAGGAACTAGAGAAAGAAGAACAAACAAAACCCAAAGTTAGCAGAAGGAAAGAAATCATAAAGATCAGAGCAGAAATAAATGAAATAGAAACAAAGAAAACAATAGCAAAGATCAATAAAACTAAAAGCTGGTTCTTTGAGAAGATAAACAAAATTGATAAACCATTAGCCAGACTCATCAAGAAAAAGAGGGAGAGGACTCAAATCAATAAACTTAGAAATGAAAAAGGAGAAGTTACAACAGACACCACAGAAATACAAAGCATCCTAAGAGACTACTACAAGCAACTCTATGCCAATAAAATGGACAATCTGGAAGAAATGGACAAATTCTTAGAAAGGTATAACCTTCCAAGACTGAACCAGGAAGAAATAGAAAATATGAACAGATTAATCACAAGTAGTGAAATTGAAACTGTGATTAAAAATCTTCCAACAAACAAAAGTCCAGGACCAGATGGCTTCACAGGTGAATTCTATCAAACATTTAGAGACGAGCTAACAACCATCCTTCTCAAACTCTTCCAAAAAATTGCAGAGGAAGGAACACTCCCAAACTCATTCTGTGAGGTCACCATCACCCTGATACCAAAACCAGACAAAGATACTACAAAAAAAGAAAATTACAGATCAATATCACTGATGAATATAGATGCAAAAATCCTCAACAAAATACTAGCAAACAGAGTCCAACAACACATTGAAAGGATCATATACCATGATCAAGTGGGATTTATCCCAGGGATGCAAGGATTCTTCAATATATGCAAATCAATCAATGTGATACACCATATTAACAAATTGAAGAATAAAAACCATATGATCATCTCAATAGAGGCAGAAAAAGCTTTTGACAAAATTCAACACCCATTTATGTTAAAAACTCTCCAGAAAGTGGGTATAGAGGGAACCTAACTCAACATAATAAAGGCCATATATGACAAACCCACAGCAAACATCATTCTCAATGGTCAAACACTGAAAGCATTTCCTCTAAAATCAGGAAGAAGACAAGGATGTCCACTCTCACCACTATCATTCAACATAGTTTTGGAAGTCCTAGCCATGGCAATCAGAGAAGAAAAAGAAATAAAAGGAATACAAATTGGAAAAGAAGAAGTAAAACTGTCACTGTTTCCAGATGACATGATACTATACATAGAGAATCCTAAAGATGCCACCAGAAAACTAGTAGAGCTAATCAATGAATTTGGTAAAGTTGCAGGATACAAAATTAATGCACAGAAATCTCTTGCATTCCTATACACTGATGATGCAAAATCTGAAAGAGAAATTAAGGAAACACTCCCATTTACCACTGCAACAAAAAGAATAAAATACCTATGAATAAACCTACCTAGGGAGACAAAAGACCTGTATGCAGAAAACTATAAGACACTGATGAAAGAAATTAAACATGATACCAACAGATGGAGAGATATACCATGTTCTTGGATTGGAAGAATAAGTACTGTGAAAATTACTATACTACCCAAAGCAATCTACAGATTCAATCCCTATCAAATTACCAATGGCATTTTTTATGGAACTAGAACAAAAAATCTTAAAATTTGTATGGAGACACAAAAGACCCCAAATAGCCAAAGCAGTCTTGAGGGAAAAAAACGGAGCTGGAGGAATCAGACTCCCTGACTTCAGAATATACTACAAAGCTACAGTAATCAAGACAATATGGTACTGGCACAAAAACAGAAACATATATCAATGGAACAAGATAGAAAGCCCAGAGATAAACCCACGCACATATGGTCAACAAATCTATGACAAAGGAGGCAAGGATATACAATGGAGAAAAGACAGTCTCTTCAATAAGTGGTGCTGGGAAAACTGGACAGCTACATGTAAAAGAATGAAATTAGAACACTCCCTAACACCATACACAAAAATAAACTCAAAATGGATTAGAGACCTAAATGTAAGACTGGACACTATAAAACTCTTAGAGGAAAACATAGGAAGAACACTCTTTGACATAAATCACAGCAAGATCTTTTTTGATCCACCTCCTAGAGTAATGGAAATAAAAACAAAAATAAACAAATGGGACCTAATGAAACTTCAAAGCTTTTGCACAGCAAAGGAAACCATAAAGAAGACGAAAAGACAACCTTCAGAATGGGAGAAAATATTTGCAAACGAATCAATGGACAAAGGATTAATATCCAAAATATATTAACAGCTCATGCAGCTCAATATTAAAAAAACAAACAACCCAATCCAAAAATGGGCAAAAGACCTAAATAGACATTTCTCCAAAGAAGACATACAGATGGCCAAGAAGCACATGAAAAGCTGCTCAACATCACTAATCATTAGAGAAATGCAAATCAAAAGTACAATGAGGTATCACCTCACACCAGTTAGAATGGGCATCATCAGAAAATCTACAAACAACAGATGCTGGAGAGGGTGTGGAGAAAAGGGAACCCTCTTGCGCTGTTGGTGGGAATGTAAACTGATACAGCCACTATGGAGAACAGTATGGAGGTTCCTTAAAAAACTAAAAATAGAATTACCATATGATCCAGCAATCCCACTACGGGGCATATACCCAGAGAAAACCATAATTCAAAGAGACACATGCACCCCAATGTTCATTGCAGCACTATTTACAATAGCCAGGTCACAGAAGCAATCTAAATGCCCATCGACAGACGAATGGATAAAGAAGATGTGGTACATATATACAATGTCATATTACTCAGCCATGAAAAGGAATGAAATTGGGTCATTTGTAGAGATGTGGATGGATCTAGAGACTGTCATGCAGGGTGAAGTAAGTCAGAAAGAGAAAAACAAATAGCGTATATTAATGCATATATGTGGAGCCTAGAAAAATGGTACAGATGAACCAGTTTGCAGGGCAAAAATAGAGACACAGATGTAGAGAACAAATGTATGGACACCAAGGAGGGAAAGCCGTGGGGGGTGGGGGTGGGGGTGTGATGAATTGGGCGATTGGGATTGACATGTATACACTGATGTGTATAAAACTGATGACTAATAAGAACCTGCTGTATAAAAAAATAAAATTCAAAAATTTAAAAATAAATAAATAAATAAATGGCAATGGTGTTCAGTGTGATAGGTATGGAGGTTAATCCAGGAATAAAGTGATGTGGGTCTCTGCTGGGATAGTTAGTGGCTTTGGAAGTAGCTGAGAACCTTAAAGACACCTTGAAGGAAAAACTGGCTGTAAGCAGTGACTGAGATGTGGAAAGGAGGAGAGTCATGGTTATAACTCTGATAAACCAGGATAATTATGATGCCACAAATGATGATAATATAAATTTATTTTGCCTTAATAATACTTCCAGATCATAGTGTGCTGTATTTGCCTAAGCAGACGGCAGCTGTTTATGTAGTACCTTTGTAGGTCGAAGAAAACAAATTGCTTTCAGGTGTTTCATGATCTCTCGATTTTGAGAATCAATGCGTTCAAAAAGGTACACTTCCTTCTGGAGAATTTCCGATTGTGTGTATACCATACTCACTATGCCGGTCTGTAAAGAAAAAGAATTAACTAATATTATGCTAGTCCAGAATAATAAAAACAAGCAGCCATACCTAAGCCTTAAAATCTTTTTTTTCATTAACACTACTTAGTTGGATAACTTAAATACTAACATATGTAATAACATTTACTGAGCATCTAAAATAATAAGTAATGTACCAAAATGAAACGTTCTCTCTGAACACGAACAACCCATAAATTTCCCATCACCTTAAAGAGTTCTTTTTTTAAATTTTGTGACCAATAAATAATAACCTGTCACCTCAGTTTGAGCCCTGACAGCTTTCCTTTAAAAACATAACGCTGAGTGGAAATAACAGGACCATCCCAAAGTCCTCCGAGTGCGCTGTCTTATATATTATTTCTTGGCAAAAGCATTTAAAAAACGATTTCTGATTTCAATAAACTGTTCTGGGTACAAGAACCTCCGGCAGTGGTTAGAGCCATTCAAACTGCAAACCTTCTAGGCAAGCTTTACATACACAACCTTTCAGTTCCACACTGAACTGACCCTCACTTATAAATCTTTAATTACATACTATATCCTACAGTGGAATGGGACCAGCTATTGCAAGGGAGGAGGGTTCCCTCACAAACACTGAGCAAAAGCAAACTCACCGTCTCTTTATCCATAAGAAGTACTTTCATGCCCGGTCCGCTGTCCTCTATCATTTTGGAAATGTACTGCTTCACAGCAAAAACCACGTTCATGGTGGCGAATTGACAGGTTAGCACTATAGCTCTTCCCGCCCCCCGTTTTTCTTGCTAAATTAACCCCCGGCCTCTTATCCGGATCTCAGCAACCTCCTCCCCGCCAGGCTTTGGCTTCCGGAAGTCCGGTCAGCTGTGGTCCTGGGAGTTGTAGTTTCGCTACGCGGTTCGGACAACCAGCCTCCCGGCTACTTGGAAGAATTCGGCTGAGACACCCTAGGATGCCACGCCCGGACTTGATTCTCGACCCACCTCTAGCCCGGAGGTGTTTGAGGCCCGGACGCTCAGATCTCTCCCGGCCCTTGGCCCGGGGTCCGGGCCGCGGCCTGACGCCCCTCCTGCTGGCTTGGGGAGAGGGTGGCGCCTCGCGGTGTGGAGGAACTTGGCATAATGCTGGCTCGGAGGCAAGAACAGCAGAGCTTGGCCGTGGTCGCTATTTGCCATTAACGCTTTCTTGGGTGGCAGTGAAGGATGGAGGGAAGGGAGATGGCCTTGTGTTCCCGGCAGATGTTAGGGACTCCGAGGGACGGCATTTGGTAAATCTCACGCGGTATTTGCTAAATAGTGGCCGAGATTCGTCTTCCCCGCCTTATTTGTGTCATTAACAAGGCGAGGACACAGTTCGGGCAAAGTGAGGCCCTAATTGCTTTTCCGAAGACTGAGGGGTATCGGAAATTGAACAAATACTTATTGAACGAATAAATAGGGAACGCCCTTTAGGAATGTTCTGGGAGAGGCCTCGGATCTCCCAGGAGGGCCTGGAGGTGGGGTCTGCCGCCGGAACTCGAAGGCCGCGGGTCCAGCGGAGCCCGGAACCACCCAGTTTTCGGCTCCCTGGGCGTTTGGACTCCGTGGGTTTCAACTCTCCCAGGTTGCTGGGGACTTGCGATGCTGAAACAGCGGCAGGAGAAGAGTTAACAGGGTCAAAAATGGGTAGGGGACATGTATTCGGTGGGGCTAAAGCAAAGTAGCGCGGGGATTTTAAGGAAAAACTCAAAATTTTAATTTAAGAAACGACAAAAACTTAGCAACAAAATGAATCTTAAAGCCATCAACTTCCACATGTCTACATCTGTGTTTATACCCCGCAGGTCTTCTCTCCATTATGCCATTTCTCGAAAAGGATGGTAAATGTTAGTTTTCTGCACCTTTGCGTTGGGGAATTGTAAAATCGGGAAGACAACAGGAAACAACTGCAAGAAATCAGAGACTTTAATTGCTTGTAAATATTTCTACCCAAAAAATGACCAGTGTTTGTTGTGTTCACAGTTTAATCAATAGGTTCAGCATTACCAAATCAATTTTCTTTCATTACATTGTATGAAGTTTACCGTTAAAACGAGACCTAGAGCACGTCAACAGGAATCTGGCTGTTAAGATTACTTTATAAAACTTTGTATACAATTTTCAAATCCTTTAAGGGAGATCAGAAACCACTTGAAATACCATAGGTTTTTGTCACCTCTGAAATTGTGAAGATGTGTTTATTTTCTTTCCTTTTCAATTTTTCTACCACATAAATAAAACTTTCCTTTGGACATTTTTTTCTATTTTTGAGATACATTTTGCAAGAACAGTTATATGAAAATGAATCTTTAAATGGATACAAATGAGAAAAATCTAATGTTATCTGAAAATTCTGTTCTTATTCATTTTAAATGTTTTTAAAAATTTTAAATACATTGAATATTTTCTTCAAAGTATATTACAATTTAAAACATAGAAAACAGCAAACCAATGCTAATGAAAAAGTAACTGCAAATCCTGTAAGTTACCAATATTTGAAAATTAATTTCCACTCTTGTGTCATTTGGTTTTTGTTTTTTCTTACCTATAATTTGGATTTCAGTATAGTATAAGGTTGTTTTCCATTTTATGCATTTTTTAGAAAGAACAAGGAGAGAGAGGCTTGTCTATGAACTTCGTGCTTTTTTAGACAATTGTCAATCTGTAAGTAATACATGGAAACTGCATCCTTTTAAGTATTTATATTTGGACAATTATAACATTTTAGAGGAGTAAGAAAAATGCCTATTTTGACAAGACTTACTGACTCATTCCTTTGCCCATGAAATTCCACTGATGTCAGTGGCAGTGTTATTTTACACGTAGGTAAGATACAATGTTTAATAGAATGTAAACATTTTGTACAAAATATTTATTATATATTTAGTGGATTCTATGATGGTCCTGAAGTTTGGCAGCCCATTTCCTTTCTGAAGAAAACTAAAAAAACCATTTTAAATGTCTCCAGATTAAGAACTTCTTTTGTATTCCCATACCTCTAAAAATAGGACTGAAACCAATGATCAAGTCCAAACTTTTGCTTTGTGACTCATCCAGTTTAAACCCAGTGACTTGTTTTGTTGTAGGCAAGACAGCAAATCCAGAAGCCAATATGAAGCACATTACTTATTTTTTTAAAAATCAAGGGTGTAAATAAACTGTAATAATAAGAAATATTTTTAATAATAGAAACTTCAAATTTAAAAAATACTTTAAATATAAATGATTACATTAATTATAAACTTCCTAATGCAGTTACTTGAAAATTTTTTTACTAGGTTCAAGGAATCAGTGCTTTAAGGGTGAAAAACAGGAAGTTAAAAATTATGGTGTTTATATCTGTACATTTTGTTTAGACTTGTAAAGATGTGTGTAAATGAAGTAATCAAGAATGATTACCTGAATAATGACATGTGCTTCAGCTTCTTACAAAGTGTGTACTATTTAGAGGTTTAACTGTCCATTTTATATTTAATCAAAATCATGTTTCTCCTCCATAAGAACTCAAAGTTTGATATAAAACAAAGGATATGTAAATAAGTTTAGTATAATTGTAATAACAATATGGCCAACTCTTAATTATCTTAGATTATTAATTATTTACCATTCTCCTTGTTGCTATGTGTTAACATAGCCCTACATAGGAGGGAAGTGAAGATGAAAGTCAATGAAACTCAAATTAATTAGATTTTCTGCTTGTTAGCAATTGGAAAAATATTTAGAAAAAGAATGACAGTATTGTTTGTGTCAGACAACCCATCCTTATGCAGTGTTTTTAACCTTTCTAGCCATTTACTCATCTGAGAAGTGGTGGTAATATAATCTACCTTATGAAATTGTGAGAATTTAATGAAATAATGTGCAAGAAAAAAATGTGCCTGGTACATAGTAAAGGCTCAATAAATATCAGTTTTAATTATTTGAAATCAAAAGGTACCCATAACTTTTATTTTTTTACATATGGCATAATTCATTTTCTTTGTCAATAATATTTAAAAAGAGAATGGATTTCAGAATTTGTAAACTATCTTCCAAATATAATTTCCATAATAACTGTATCTTGCATTACTATATGATAATAGAAATATTAATGGGAATATTTGGCCTGCTCCATCATAATTTCTTTAAAGCATACGGTTTTCGCGAAGACAAAACTTAGGAAAAATGCTTCAAGTGATTTCAGAGACTTAGTGCCTACCCAGCCTCAACTCAAACAGAATTTGTTAAGTTTTTGTCACAGTTGGTAGTTTAGTACCAAACTTTATGGTAGCAAAAACGCTGAAGAGCTTTAAATCATTAAGTAAAAATTATTTGCATGGAGGGTTCTGTCTGTACATTCAGTAATTACAGTGATTCCACCTTTCTGGTGGTGATGTTAACTTTGATCACTTTATTTAGGTTGTGTCTGCTGGGTTTCTCCACTGTAAATTTACTATTTTTCTCCTTATAATTAATAAATATCATATGGAGAGATGCCTTGGTGAGTTGCAAATATCCTATTCTCATCATACACCTGGTAATTTTAACTGGAATCCGTTGATGGTTCTTCCTTGCAACAGTTGGTGTTTACTGAATGGTAATTATTTTCCTCATTCCTTCTATAGTTATTATTTGGAATTCTTCTGTAAAAAAGTGATCCTTTTCCCCCATTTATTTATACAATCGTTTATGTCAGACTCATGGATATTTAAGAAAATTGTCACTTTTAAATAATAGAAAGGTATAGATAGAGGTTGAGAGTGCAGACTCTGGAATCAGGCAGCCTGGATTTGATTCTGCTGTGTACTAGTTGCAGGACATTGGTAAGTTACATAAGCGATTAGTGACTCAGTTTCCCCATTTGTAAATGGAGAAAATAGCACCTATATCAGGTTAACATGAGAATTGAGATAATACATGTAGTCTTTAGCCTAGCTTTAACTATTTTTTCTTAGTGAATATTTTGTACTGTGCTTAGTTTTGCTATTTATGTTTCCCCACCTACAAACAGAATAAAAAATATTTTGTTATGTGCTTGCCCCCCTGAGAAATTATTAAAATTCACAAAATAAATTTTAAAGTGCTTTGTAATGTTAAGGAGATGCATAAATTCTTATTTCTAAAAAGAAAAAAAAGATTGAACTAGAAATTGCTAAGATCCCTTTTATGATCATGATTCTGTTTTTGGGCTGCTTTTATGTTAGAAATGTAGCTGATCATGAAACACAATGAAATTATTTTCAACATTTTAGATATTTCAAGAGAATAGGCAAGGCATATGAAATAAGTACCAGAAAATTCATGTTCTTATGAATCCTAAATTTCGGTAGTGGTAAAGGAGTCTTAACTATGTTTTTTATACTGAAATAATTCCTTTAGAAATACCTAGTTATTGATTTAATCAAGCATTTGATCAGGATCACTTATTTTTCTTCGCTAGAAAGAATAATGTTGAAAAAATGAGATACAAAATATTTTGTTTACGCATCTTTCCATTTGAAGCAAGTGAAATTTAATGTAGGATGCTGTTATTTAAGATTTCTCTTAATATTAATAAATAAAAACAACCACCTTTTACTGAGCTTTTACTATATGCTGAGTCCTTGCAAATATCTCAGTTAATTTGTGCAACTTTCCTTTGAGGTGAGTATTATCTCCATATTATAGATAAACTGAGGTTCAGAGAAGTTGAATAACTTTCCTGAGGTAACAGAAAGCAGCACTGAGAGAAGCATATCTTTTTCAGTGGACATCTTACCCTATATTTCTTTGTTCACATCCTTATTAAAAAAGTAGATTGCCATTTCTTTGAGGATAGAGAATTTTTTCCCCATCCTTTTCACCAAGTACAGTGTCCTGTACACAGAGATGCCCAATAAATATTTAACATTGGTGATACTCATTACTGGGCAAACGGCTACAATGGCATGTTAAATAAAGTATAGAGTTTTACATGGACAGAACAAACAAAGAGATCAATATACTTATCTAGGTGATCTATACCAACAATTTTATTGAATGATGTGGAATAAATTCTGGGGAAAATAGCATGGGTTTTCTTTCCAATTCCCAGGTAAATTATAGGGATGTAAGACCAAACCATTCTGGTACTCTTGTAACAATGACATTGTCTTTTCTGACAATATGTTAGCAGTGATTAAAGAGAAGATTAATTTCATAGACTTCTTAAGAATTTACTTGAAAAGCATCAGCTTTAAAAAAAGTAATTTAGCATTGAACTTTTTCTGCACCCAGACAGAGGGCGCCCTTGGACCACTAAGAAGGTATCAATAATTTACAGGATCTTTTCTTCTTCCACTTACAATGGGGTTACATCCCAATAAACCCCATTGTAAGTTGAAAATATCGTAAGTTGAAAATGCATTGACTATACCTAACTTACCAAACTGCATAACTTAGCCTCGCCTACTTTAAATGTACTCAGAACACTTACATTAGCCTACAGTGGGGCAAAATTATCGATCACAAAGCCAATTTTATAATAAAGTGTTGAATATCACACACACACACACACACACACACACACACACAAACTTACAAGATCTTTGTAACATTGGGTGCTGGTTCACCGAGTAATGGTAATGGTTACACGAATGAGGGAAAAATGCATTTTTTGGCCAAAATAGGTCACAAAATGCTTTAATGTTGTGTTTAATCTGTTTTGGTTTTAAATCTTATTGAACTGTTACATGAATTGACTGCTTTATAATTTTTTCATTTCTTGAGGAACTAGATAAAACTAATAGCTACCAAGTTCAAATCAACAGGCATTCAGTTTGGGAGATTATTTTAATAAATATGAAGTCTAAAATTTGAAGGCTGGGAATCTGATTATAACTTCTATTCATGTCTGACTGCAATTGACAGTAGATCTGTCAACATGAATATGTATGTTTTAGGCCATGTACTGAGTACTTTCCATGCAACTAAATACAGCATGTGATCCTTTTTTTTTTTTTTGCCACGTGGCTTGCAGGATCTTAGTTCCCCAGCCAGGGATTGAACCTGGGGACTCGGCAGTGAAAGTGCAGAGTCCTACCCACTGGATTGCCAGGGAATTCCTGGCAATTAACTTCTTTTTTAAAATGAGAAGATTGAAGCTTAGAGAGATTAAGAAGATTTCTGCTAAAAAGTGACAGAACTGGGATATGAACCTGGGAGGTGTGAACACCAGAATTCATGTTTATACCAGAAAACTATACTGCAAATGACAGTTTCCTCTGTTCATGGCAGGAAATATGCAATTAATTGTGAAATTGGTTTTTTTCCAGTTATTGTTGAAAGACTACAGCAACATCCAGGCTCACCACAACTTAATTTAGGCATAATATTGGGAAGTTAGGCTTTTAATTTCCAGGTGATGTAGTAATTTAAACTCAGGTGCTATAGAACTCCTGGTCAAGGAACACTCAAGTTTAGAGAGTACCATGATAGAATGAAAAGAGTAATGAATTGGGAGCCAAGTAATCTGATTTATAGTATGTTTCACTACTAATATTTAGATGAGTTTCAGAGATGATTCAAGCTCACTAGACCTCTGTCTTTCAAATGAAGGAAATGGACTAGAAAACCTCAGGTCATAGATCTTTGAGTTTTATATTTTGCATATGGAAATTGTTTTATATCTTCATATTGTACATCTTTTTCAATTTCTGGGAGCAGTATATTAATAGAAATCTAACAGTGTCATGCCTGCTTTAGCACTGGTGTGGAGCCCCCAGAATAGTTCTACATAGGCATCTAGTTCTCAGCACTGATTACTAGAGGATTTGTGGAGGGTATTTATTCTATCAACAAGCACTGAACACCTACTATGTACTAGCCATGGAAATACAGTCATTTGTCTTTGACATTTCTTAGGACATGCTGTCATTTTCTTTCTTTGCATAGGTTCCTGGGGATAGCTTTTTCTTGCTTTCTTAAATGTTGGTTAAAGCATTTCCTTAAGTGTGGGAAGAAGAAGGATGTATCTCCCTTCTTAAACTCCTGGAAGGGGGTGTGGATTTTATCAACTTTTTGAGAAAAGACTGTGTAAATGTGAGGGCAGAGTATCTCTATTAATATTCTTTTGCTTTCTCCTGCAGAATATTTAGGAACTATTCCTTTCTGGAAGTAAAGTAATGGCATCCAGACTTAAGATAGGAAAGAGGTAAAGGGAATGGTGGTCTAATTTTTATGTGACTATTTAATGCTGCTATTTTTAATTGAGTTAAAACATCTAAATTGAATGACACTTAACTTCCCCAAAGTCATTTTTCTGTGTGGTTCTTAGAGAAAATTGTCTGGGTCACCTATATAAGCATCTAGTTCTCAACTCTGGTTACTAGAGGATTTGTAGAGTGTATTCATTCTTTCAAAAAGCATTTATTTAATACCTACTGTGTGCTAGCTGTGGAAATAAGCATTGCAGGAATTCCCTGGCGGTCCAGTGGTTAGGACTTGGCACTTTCGCTGCCGTGGACTGGGGTTCAATCCCTGGTCAGGGAACTAAGATCCTGCAAGCCATGCGGCTCAGCCAAAAAAGAAATAAGCATTAAACAAAACAGACAAAAATTCCTAATCTCATGGAGTTTACAATCTAGTGAGGACATTCAGACAAAGAAAATAGGTAAAATTTATGGTAATTAGATGGTAATAAATTCTATAGAGAAAAACAAACCAGGTTTAAAGAAGGGAGATGGAGTTTTTATGGATTATAGATAAATTATAGATAAATCTATAAATTATAAAATATAAATTATAGATAAATCTATAATTTATCTATTTTAATACTAAGTGTCTCTTTTTTATAAAGTTCGCAGTTATAGATAGGGTGGTCAGGGAATCATTCACTGAGAAGTGGACATTGAACAAAAACCTCAAGGAGGTGAGAGGAGTAAAGCCATGTGTTATCTAAATAAAGAAACTTCCAGGTATCAATCAACCATACTCCAATAAAAAAAAATTTTTTTAAGATATTTTCACTGGGTATAGAATTCTAAAAAAAAAGAAAAGAAAGAAAGAGAGAAAAGAAACTTCCAGGTAAAAGGAAGAACAATTGCAAAACCCCTGAGGTGAGAGTCACCTGTTCATAAAAGAGCAAAGTGGCCAGTGTAGCTGGAATTGAGGCCGGGAGGGGGAAAGATAGATAATGGGAAACAGTTTGTGTAGGACCCTGTTGTGAGAGCGTTGACTTTTATTTTGAATGAGATGAGAAGTCACTGGAGAGCTTTAAGGCGTGGATCAATCCAGCTGCTGGGTTGAGAGTAAACTGCAGAGAGCAAAGGCAACAAGCAGGGAGACTAGTTAGCAGCATTTACAATAATCCAGGTGAGAGGTAGGTCTTAACCAGGGAGATGGAGATGGTGAGGAAGAGGATGGATTCTGGAGACTGTGACAGAATTAGCTGGTGGTTTGGATGAAGGATATGTGAGACAGAGAGGAGTCCCTGCAAGATAACAGGTTTTTTTTTTAGCCTCAACAACTAGCAGGAT